GGAGCACATTATTCCCAATAAAAACAGCAATATTTTTCCTTCTTTTCTTTGGACATGTAGACCAAGCATATGAGAAATTCCAAACTTCATTGTTATGATGTTGCATGATATAAATTATCTTAAAGAAAAGTTTGAATGCAAGTAGGTACCTTGGCACATTACCACTGGATGAACATTTTTGCCATTTCACACTTTCATAAACATGTATGAAAATTTAATCTCATTTATGCCCTCTCTGCATTATTATTCAAAATATTTACACACTATTTTTTTGACAATACTGTAATACCATTGTGGTGGCCTAAGTGTGAATTACTTTTATTAGAATACCAAGTGTAGACACCCTAGCTAATTTGTCCATAAAAATTAACACAGAAATATGCAGTGTTGCGGGCTGCAACTATCTTCTTTACTTTAATTATTCTACACATAAGGTTAGAAACAATATTTCATTTTACGGCTCGCAATCATAATAATCCTTGTAAAAGTTTTCCCATACTTCTTATTTGAAACACAAAATACCAATTAATTTTATATTACAAAAAAATCTGATCTTCCAAAACAACTTCAGCTCAATTTCTCTTATAATAACAGCCATATTATATAGAGAGATTACTCTAAGAAGGTATCACTTTGACAGCTACTATTGGCAATATAATTGCACATTATGTCCACACATTCAAGTTGTCAATCCATTAATTTTCAGTTGGCACACCTCTTGCAATGTCATTGTCCAACACAATGTTTATTTGTTTCCTGAACTGTCAAACTGGTCCTTTTTGGCGTAACTTCCTTTTAAAAAGGAGGACTCAAAAAAAGTAACGGTAATTAGCCAAACCATTTCACTATCAGATCAGAAATAGGTAGCTTCAGAGGTTAAGATTTTTGAAATATGCAATTGCAAAATATATTCCTAACAGTACTCTTTAACACTAATATTTGTTACTATTGGAATGTTGGAAATTTTTCAACAATCACCTTTTTTTGATATAACCATCAGTCACCACTATGAATTATAAAGTATTCTTTGACTTAAGAGTAATAAAATAAGGTAACAAATTTTGCTCCTATAATTTGTGTATATTATGTAACATTTCTTATTAACACTACACATAAGCATACAAAACAATTGTTTTCATAAAAGCTTATACACACTAGATATTACTGAAGTGATTTGAAGTGATTGAAGTTTAGCAACATAGAGAAATGCTTCATTTGAAAGTTATGTAACCCTTTCAACGAACCCACCCATTTCAATGTTGTCCTTGAGAATACCACTACACGTTTCATTTCTCTTCAAACACGCACACAATTTAATTGACTACACTAATTATCCTTGGCCGTTTTTAGACAAGAATTAAATTTATATTTGGTTTTATTCTGTGTGCAACCAATTAGTTATGAGTAGGGTTGTGATTTATATGCAAATAAAAACATGCGCATATATATGTAAATATATATGGTAATACATGCAATTAAAAAAGGAAAATATGCGAAATAGAGTAATGTAATATGTATAAAAATAAATAATAAGTGTAATGTGGAAAATAACTTTACAGCAAAAAAAGATAGAGAAATCATATAAATTGTTTCAAGCAAAAAACATGAAGTAAGGGCTTAATTTTGAAGAACACTCATTTCTGAGGAAAATAATGGGAAATGCAGTTAATTTACATTTCACAAAATAAAAAAAAATATAGAACACGCAATTAAAATACTTCCTCACAATTCACAGGTCTGACTCTTAACTCCACTGCACTTTGTGGCGTATGGGCATGTATAAGCGCTCGGCGGATACATATTTTATTTCGACTGATACTGCTAATGTTGGGTCTTAGCGTGCTTCTCAAGTGACTTTGTATGAGTGAGGCAAGCAGCAACGCTGATCCGTGGCCATGGCAACATAAACAAATCCACGGGAGGCCATTACTTCAGAGCCAGTCATATGGTGTACCATAGCAAGTGGTGAGAACTGTCAAAACCGCTTACACATTGACGAAGTGTAAATTTTGGGCTTCTTTTCGCGGATGAGGGGTGAACATGCAACAAAAATATGCAAATATGGCCCAAATATCTAATTATGGTTATATATGCGAAATAAAAATAGCTTAAAATGCATATAAATCACAGCCCTAGTCATGAGCCTACTCAGTGTCCATATTAATCTCAAAACTATCAAAGTTAGCTTCAATAATGCTGGAATGCTGTCTGAATTGTGATAATTAGTGCATTACTATAAGTTGTGTGTTTGACCTTTTACGTTCCTTGTCAAAGCCTTGTGGAAATAAAGTTGAAAGTTGATTTGTATTACAGAAAGAATGAATTAATTTCAATATTAACTGCCAGCAATTCATTGGCATTAATCTATTATAAGACATGAACAGAAGTTTTAAAAATTGACTCACAGAAAATAAATTTAGGCTGTTCTTCACCATAATGAGCAAAAATGTGATTAGTTTAGACCCCCAAAACTAAATATTGAGAAGATCAGAAATGCAAACATTGAAATTGAGTATTCACGATTTTGAAAATGATCATAATGTAGTAAAATACTACATTTTCCATACTGATGATTATTTATCACACATGTAAATTTAGTGAAGATGTTATAAGAATTAAGTAGACACTTAGCATTAATATTTTTATTTCCATTGGGAATCTCAGAAAGTGACTGATAAAAAACTGAAGAAGAAAATGAACACAAGTAAGATCTGCTGCTCAACTGAACTCAAAACCTGGTCACAAATAGAGAAAATGGTTAACAACAATAAAAAATTCTGACAATGGAATAAACTCAAAAGACTTTTCCAAGGAAAGGAAAACATTTATACAACAATTATTCATTGTTTTGTTCTTCTGCAACATTTCCATTTTCGAATTTGGTGTATTTTAATGCAATAATATTTTACATCAGAGCTGAGAACAAAATTTTACATAGTTTTACAATGTTATCCATAAGCAATAGGTTCATACCATGTCAAATTTAGAAAATTCATTCACTACATGCAACAATAGCAAGGTTATTACACTATAGTCTATAATGCAGACACACTAGATCATAGTCCCATTCAAAGCACCAATGCTGAAATTAATTGCGGATGTCTTTGTGAAAGGTACAGACATTTCATTTTACTCAAATTATATCACCCCACAGTTTGTTACTATTCCTGAAACACTACACAATCTGCCACCTCTACACACAGTATTATAAAGAATGCAAGTTAATCATCTGGTGTGCAGTCTTTATTCCAAACCTCACTGTGGAACGAGATTGTTACCCTTCTCGTGCAGAAAAAGAATATAAAAATAAACTGTAACACTAAAGATTGAAAATATGTACAAAGTGGATGCAAGATAACATCACTGTTCATTTATCAATGTTATGCCATAAGAAGCCAACAAACAAACATGATGGCAACCCAAAGAAATACCTTAGAAACAAATTGTTCTTCTTCAAATTGGGGAGTACCTCTGGGTGCTGCAACAAACAAAAATGGACATTACACACTTCCCAAATCTCCATATTAGAATATATTTTGGCACATCCAACTTTCACAAGAAATGAACTCCACTTTAGCTACGAATTTCAATAAAAAAAACAAATAATGGGAATCAAATAGTATACAATTTTAATATATTTATACAAGTAAAAGTTCTAATTATACAACATGTTTATATACTGATACAATTTTGGAAAATACTCCACAGAAAAGTGCGGATTTTGATGAAGATAGCATAATCTGGAGAAAACACGATTTAGTAGTTGCAACAAATATTAAGTTTTCTTTGCACTATTATTTTTATTGCAAAAAAAGGTTCTTACATCCTATTACACATACATTTTCTTAGAAGTATTTACCTAAATACGCAATATTTACTTAAAAAGGGAGTAATTTTTTTTCACTGATAGGCAGGATATCTTATTTACCTGGGGTGTAATAAGATACAATTATACATTTTATGTAGCAAATGTTTCCTTCATAACAAAACCATAAGAAACACAAGAAAAGGAGTTTACCTGCACTAGGCCTTGGCTCGCCAAAGTTGAATGTAGATGTGAAGAAACCAAAGGGGAAGGCACCGATTCCAAATGACATGTGGAAGCCACCATCTCCAAAACCAAAACCAGGAAATCCCTTCATTCATAAAATACAAGCAATTAATTTAAGGTAGCATTCTTGGAACTCTTCACCAATTTTTAAATAAATGAGACAACTTACTCCATTATTTTCAGGTTCCGATCGCTGGCCAGGAGGTCGAGGCGGTACTTTGTTCCTGTAAATAACTCGGAAATGTTAAATGTTTTCATTACTGACAATCAATAATCCAGAGGAGGAAAAACCTACCATAGTTGTACACAAAGTAAGTGGAAATGGAACTTCACCACATACTACAATATGTAGCCATTATTAGGGACAGATAACTCAGTTTTGTAGTTTAACTGCATTTTGTAAACAATTTATTGGTTTTTGGTTTCATAGATATTTTTTATTTATGAGTATATTATTAAAATCATATAGACAGTAAAATATTTAGGTAAAACAATTTTTATGTAAAATTAATAATATATTAATTAAAAATTATTATTCAATATAATTTAATTTAAAATTAATAGTTTAAATATAATAATTAATAATTTATATATAATAATTAATATTATTTAATGACGCTACCCTTTGATGCAATAATATGCTTGCCTCATGGCTCCTCCTACAATGTGAACCTTAACTACGAACTCTACGAAAACACACTTCGCTGAGATCATAAATGACACAACATAAATCGCACCATGACACTAACCACTTTTAACTCTCTGGACTAAGTACTCTGAATGGAACTATACCCCAGGGCACCACTACAAATCAACTTATATAAAAAGATTGTATTACTCAATTCCAGTCTATATCAGTCATACTTCAGTGTTGTCTGGCCCATTGCAGTAGCTTTTTCTTCATGGTCTGGGTGAGACATGATTTCTTGTTAGGATGACCGATTCTCTTCTGATAACCGTCTCCAGACTATCCTTTTGGAAAGAGTTACTCTCTTGCTGTTTATCATTGTAGTCAGACAGGCAACACTCCTGCAGATATACCTGATTCTACGAGTCATACGAAGACTGATAACCATTTTCCTGCCACATTTACCCAAACGACCTGCTTCCACGTTTTTTTGTGCAGACCTTTTTTCTCTTTCATTCTGTATTTTGTAAACTACAGTTTTTGAAACACTTATAATAGTGCAAAATCATGCGAAATCTCTCAGTTAATGTGTGGAATGAAGTAATAGCGTTTGTTTTTCTCTAATTTTCCTTGGGAGATGTGTCCAAAGCCTTACTCTACTAAAGAGTAAAAACTTCCGAGGTTGTAACGTTACATTGTCAACTAAAATGAAATTACCAAACTCATAAAATATAGTCAAGTAATGCAGTAAGGAATGATACTTACATTTTGATTATTTTGGAAAGGAAAAAAGTCACAGAAACAATTAAAAAAATATTTGTACGTCCTCACTACAGCAATAGTTTTCAATAACCTTCAACTCAAAGAGAAGTAACATAAATTATTTCTTAAATAATGCAGGGTTTCAGTTTTGCCACACATCTAAAACAATAGTAACAATAACAGAAATTCAACAAGTCTTATCGAAACCAAATTCTTTGTACAAGAAACCATTTAAACAAGAAATTACACAAATATGATAACTGCCCCTAGTAATTTGGCCCCCTACTGTAATTAATCCTGTATTAAAAATATAATTTTTATGGATTAGAGTAAATAGTGCAAGATCCCAATGCACCACTATTTTACAAATTATCAATTACTTTTGGATAAACGAAACTTTACCATTATGAACCCAAATTCATTACATGGGCTTTGGAAGTGTAAAATCACACCCTCAAATCAAACAATTCTGGAAAGTAATATAAACAATCGTCTCTACCTGTCATTACTGTTCATATTAGTGAATGGAACTTTTGATAATATGAAATAAAGAGAATTCAAATATTTCTTATAGAAGAAAATAACACAAGACTCTAAAACATATTTTATAGGTTAAAAATTTATTTTTGGTAACCTTACTTCAAATTCCCCAAAATAATACATCTGAGTCATGAGGTAGAAAAAATTGAGATAAACATTCTAGAAATCTCCTCTCTGAGTGGCCTAATGTTTCATTTCTTATCAGAATTATTTCTCTCTGTTCATTTTCTATTTTAGAGAGTCAATGTTAAATTTTACAAAAACAATGGTTGTCAAAATATATTTTAAACACTCTCACCGAAGACATTTTACATCCACATCCTATTTATCTTTTAAAGATCTAGACAGGTATGACTAACAATTTAAAATACAGTAACATAAACTAAAAACAATTTCCTATCCACTTTGCACAGTTCTGATATTGCTGTAAAATTGGGAAGTAATATTTATATCCATTAAAGAAAAAAATGAAAACATTATCTCTCCAACATAATTCAGAATAATAGTAACAAATTTGAATTCACAAACACCACTTTCCTTGAAAGTTTCTCTTTCTCAATCAAACCAAAATTAGCAAACCCAATGAATATGATTTTCAGGTGCACTTTAGCTAAGAACGGGAAATACCTCAACAAGGACTCCTTATTTTCAAAAGGATTCAATGAGCAAAATTAGAAAAATTTAGACTGGTAAATAAATGATATTGCACTAGTTTAGAATCTCCAAAAATTGTTAATAAAATTGTTACCTTTAGTTTTGTACCCATACGTTATTAAAATTATTATGTTTGTTTATAGAAATTTGTAATGAACATCCCAATGTCTTGTAAATATTGAGAGATTCTATTTTAAAAATAATACATAGCAGTCCTTAAATTACAGACATCCTTTTTGAATTTATTTTTGACACGCAATATCTTGCGAATTTTGAAACCAACGAATATAATCAGCAATGTTTAGAACTCGTCAACTGATCTAACTCAGACCCTATCACTTTTCAAAGTCAGCAAACTAGCAGTTTAAAAGGCACATCAGCATGGTGGTAGAAGTTTTTCTACAATAACAATTTCATAAGCAATGTAATTGAATGATGAAATTCTAAATCATCTGAATTTTCAAAGTAAGAATATACTTTTTCTTTTCATATCACAAAATGCCAATGCAAAATAGTCATTAAGCTCTATGTATGAAAGAAACTGATTCTCTAATTAAATTTAATGAAAATGTCTTAGAATTGCATAATCTTTTTGGATCACTTAACTACTATGCAAAATTACAATTTTATGAATATTGCATTGCAATATAATTCCACACAAACAATAGTGATACCGTATTTATAAACATTGTCCTAACAATTGAACAAAATAAAATAGTGTCAATTTTTAAAAAAATGTTGGGCACCAACACAAAGTCAGGCAAATAATCAAATAATTCCAGCATGGTAAAATAGAAGATCTTAGAAGTATTTTTCTCCATTGTCAACAAATCATTGGGACTGCTTTAAGAAGTTCGATGCTTCAATTTTCAACAGGCTCATGAAATCTAAGATTCTCTAACGCAAATTACATGCAAAGTTACAAAATTCAGAACAAACAATCGAGAGTTATTGAAGTCATCAAACCTAAACATTACCTTGGATCCTCTTGTTTGGTACTTCCACGACCATATAAAGGAATAACCTTTTCTTTGCTGATGGCTGCCTTGCATACAGGGCACACTTGTCTATTTGGACGCGTTTCAAGCCACTGATGAAGGCAGGGCCAACTGAAATATTTTTGAAGTATTTACTTCTTTATTCGCAAAGAGTTTTAAGTAACATTTAAATAAATTGGCGTTATATTCACATTAATATTCAATACACTTATAAATGAACTCAAGAATAAAATATGTTCTATTAGGAGAAGAATACACACCAAAATAAATGGCCACAGAGGCTCACAACAGCATCACGAGCTGTGTCGAGACATATATTACATTCAAACATTCGCTCGTCTTTCTCCTTTTCTTTTTCTTCATTATTTCTTGAAGGGCCTGGTTCGTTTGCTGCAGCCATGACAAAATTGCACTTTTCCACTGGGTTCTAAAGAGAAACACAAATCCACATACAGCTTTAAAATATGCTTTCTAGAATTCTACAATATTTTTAAACATCCTTTGGGCAAAACAACAAATATCATTCCGTTGTCAAGTCGCGAAACGTGCAATTATATGATCGTACTTTGCATATCAAAAATTAATTATAGTCATCAACACATACGATTCACACACACGTGAATTTGTCAGGAAAACATTGCATTCGCGTCACAAACATAACAGATAATAATAAAATTTGATATTAATTAACCTTCAACGAATGCAAACAATTCAGATCACTTGTACATCAAGGCCAGATACACTGTACTTGGTGGTTGTCCGACTCGTTTCAAGTCAAGTGTAACGCATTAACAATATGCCAAAATCGAAATTAGTTACTCACAAACACAGTCTTGTCGAAAGCTGGAGACTTTTCGCATAGCACCACCACAGCACTACCAAGTATGTCAACTACGAATTATGTGTTGTTGCAGCTGATTTCTTCAGGAGAGGCAGTAGTTCCGCCGACTACGGTAAACATTTTATAGCTAGTGTGGATTAAAAAGTGTTAATAACGGTAATTTTATAACCACAAGAAATAATTTGGAAAATATCAACATTTTAAATCCGAGTCTGAAAGGTTGGAATTTTTGTGAACAATTTTGTTGTTGAGTTTATACATGACGTCATTCACACGAGCCCGCCAATTATAAAACTGTTTTTAGCCAAGGTTTATTCCGAAAAATTAAAATTAGCTCATAAATATGAAAAATGTTTGGCAGTATTGAAGAACCAAGTAATAAAAATAAATAATTCGTACATTTATTTAATTATTTAAGTTATTTAATTTATTTTCAATGTTATTTTCAATTAGGAATGTGAACAGTATTAAAACAAACGCCAAACACCGCTAACTAGTTATAGCAACCAAGCGAATAAATTATTTTCGTAATTCGTGTAAAGGTATTTAATTATCCTAATCCAGAGTGCGTGAACATCTTGAATAACCATGTCTGTTGATCCAGCGCGTCCAAAACGTCCACCCAGGGAGTCGTACACCCAGTTCGGAAAAAGAAGATTGATTAAAACGAAAGGAAAGCAGGTGGATAAAAGAGAAAAATTTAAAATAATTATAGATGGCAAAGATTACACTCCAAAGCCTTTGGTGGAAGGTGAACCCGTTTCATTAGATGAAACTGTTCCACCAGTTGAAGCCATATTTGGCGGTCTCTCTGTGTCTGGCATTTCTTCCTTGTTTATGGGAAGCGGGGGATTGAAATCCAAGATACAGGCTAGTACTGCGTTCGGTGGTTCTCGTGATTTATCGATTTCTCAGATGGTAGAAACCAGTTTGCATGATCCTGCCGAATTACTCAAAGTAGATAGTAAATTCTCTCTTGTGGAACCAAAAGAAAAAGTCCCGTCACAATTCCTGCTTCCCAAATTCCCATATTTAAAATCCCCTCCTGTTCCTAAGAAGCTGCTTGTTCCTCTTACAGAAACTCCGACCTTGTTCCATTTTGAGCTCCGCAGTTCGACCGAGCCGACGGGGTCGGCGCCGGGGGCGGAAGTGAAGCAGATTAACGAGCGTTACCTGCGGCGCCTGGAAGAGGCGAAAAACTCGGTGACGAAGAAATCGTCTGATATGGAAACACAGACACCGGTGATCTTTATGAGAAATCAGAAGACACTGGCCCAGCGCTGCGAGAGGAGTAATAACGAAGCCAACGTTACGACGTACGACATTTACAAAACGCACAAATTACTAAAAAAGATGAAGAAATCCTGGGCGTCAGCTAAAATCGTTCAGGATCCCATGAAGATGAAGTTGAAGAAGAAGGACAAGGACAAGGAAGACGGAGGCTACAACGAGAGTCTTACTTCAGAAGGTGGTCCGTCAGGAGAAAGTTCTTTTGTGAGTGCGAGTAATTTTTCCGATGATAAAGTGATTAAAATTGCCGAAGCTTCAGTAAGCATGAGTGCAGAAGACAAAAGTGAACAAGAAGTTATTGCTTTATTTCAAAACAAAAGGTTTAAGACCGCTGTATTTTTCATCGAAAGAATGTTAGCAAGTAATGTGTTTGAAAAGGAACAAGAAGTGTTTAAAGGTATTATTAAGGAAGATATGTATCGTATGGACGTGGCATTTAATTATAAACTTGATTTGTTGTGGACATACACAAACGATCACGTAAGAGGTCGTTCAATAACAAGTGTAAGCTGGAATAAAATGAATGAGAATTTATTAGCCGTAGGATACGGAAAATATTACTATCGTGACCGAAGAGGTGGCGTGGTGTGCGTGTGGTGTATTAAGAATCCAGTGCAACCTGAACGGATGTACAAATTTGCTGCACCCGTACAGGCCGTAGATTTTTCGAATACATCTCCGAATCTTTTAGCAGTTGGCTTTTACAACGGTGATATTGCCGTTCTGGATGTGTCTAATATAGAACTTAGTATTGTTGCTCAAAATGACAGAGAATCAATGATAAGTTTTGCCCCAATATGGCGAGTTTTATGGGTACCCGGGGAAGAACACGATCCTAAAGAACACATCATGACGGCTGGGCAAGATGGAAGGATTTTCAAATACAAGCGAAGTAAAACATTCTTGTGTTTTCCCATGATGCGGATGACGAGATCGGAAGGAAAGACGAGAGGTATCCCCGTGCCACGCAAATGTGATCCCCACGACATTCCAATTTCGTGCCACCCGCCTGCGCTAACTATAGCTCTTCATCCGAAAGATTACATGATATACTTCGTGGGTACTGCTGAAGGCGGTATTCACAGATGCTCCATAAACTACTTAAGCCATCACCTTGAAATGTTTATTGCTCATCGCGGACCAGTCTACAATTTAGAGTTTTCACCGTTTTCAGAAACTATCTTTTTGACTTGTGGAGCTGACTTCTGTATAAGAATTTGGCAGGATGGAATAGGAGATCCACTATTTTCTCTTTCTTTGACTGGATCCCGAGACCCGGTTCTCGACGCAACCTGGAGCCCCGTCAATGCTAACATCATCGCGAGTATCAGCGGCTCGCAGATTCACATATGGGACATCAGTCGCAAAATATCGGCTCCAGTCTCAACCACCGATTCGCCCACTCCAATTACACCTACCCCCCGATTGTCCACCGTTCGGTTCGAGAAGTCTGGTCGTAATTTGGTGGTTGGTGATATTCGAGGCAGAATACATCTCTTCGCTTTGAAGGAGATGCCCTTTTCACCCTTCTTTCAAGAAGAGGCTCTAGTTCGCTCTGTGACCAAGGCACTTGCCACGAGGCCTGATTTGTATAAAGAACTACGAAAAAATTATCCCTTGTTTGAAGAGCTTGCAGAGACCAAGAAGTGATTACCCCAAAAGTACACTTTTTCGAAGTAACAAGAGACAGAACACTTTTTTTTGTTTGAGAGTAATCAGTGTTTTGAGTTGAATATTATTTTTTATATAATAGAGAAAAATTGTAATTGCTCTAACAATTAGTACTTTAGAGGACTTTTAAAATTTTATGGTGATTTAGGATCATGGAAAGTGATTTAAAATGACTACAAGTAATTATTAGTTAATATTTTTAGTATCATATTATTAAAACCGTGAAATAAAATGTACAACCATATCAAAATAGCAGTGCCAGTAAATCATGACATATCGCATCTTTTTGTTTTACAGAATGTAAGTTCTGTAAATGTTCGTGTTACAATCTTCACTGGAATATGCATATCATTTATGTGAAAGACGTTTGGGTGTACAGATGTAAGAGGTGGTACTCAGCCCTCGATCAGTCATATTATGTTTCACTTTCAAGTTTACAATAAAACATACACACATGTACACACTAACTAAATTTAATATGAATATATGTGAGTATGATATATATATATATATATATATATATATATATATATATATATATAGAGAGAGAGAGAGAGAGAGAGAGAGAGAGAACACGATAATGATGGTGTTAGCATCGCAGATTAGACATAACTTTGAATGACAGTGGAGAAAAAAAAATGTTTCGAGTATTTCTTTCAGAAGCTTCTGGTAGTTTACCATTACACAATATCCACATCAAATTAGCACGCTAGGATGTATTCAATTATATCATGGATTTGTGATTTAACTCTCTTGGAAGTCATGGAAAATAAAATGTAGGTATCTTCAGGGTCCTTCTTTTATCATAGGTTTCAGGTTATTCCAAACTCCGTTGCATTAATTTAAATTCGAAGAAAAATGTCATGTATTTATAGTGATATAGGAAGATGCGTGCTAGACCATTAAATTCACCTGTAGTACCTGGAGGGGACCTATACCGTAATCTACAAAATGAGACTTTTTGTACATTTATTACCTATTTTATGGTTCCGTCTCTCAGTAACACAAAATTGCCGGAAACGATGTATGTTAGATCGCAGACTTTTTGTACATGTATTACCTATTTTATGGTTCCGTCTCACAGAAGCACAAAATTACCGGAAACGCTGTAAGTTAGATCCCAAAGTGAAGCTATTTTAATTTTAAAGAAATTTTTTAATGATAAAAAATATACATTTTTCAGGAGAAGTTTTAAAATAATAATTTAAAAGGATTTGTTTTTTGGTGTTCGCATTTTTTTCTGAAAAATCTTTGGTTTCTAATTTTTTTTTCACTCCTCTGAGAACTTTTCAGAACTTCCCGTTTCAACTGACAGGGAAGGCACTGCACTATAAGCCGCAGTAAGGTTTATACAGGAATTTATTAAGAAACAATAATTTTTGAATTACCTTTAATTTCCAGATTAACATGTGCGGTGAATATGTGAGGAATATTAGTGGGAATATTTGGGGGAGAATTTGAGAGAGCCCTTAAACCTAGCGCGCAATGGTTAGGTACGCGTTTTAAAAGTTGATTACATTACATTCGCGGCGGCGATGGTGTAACGGTTAGCGTACTGGACTGTTGCACCCAAGTTGGCGGGTTCACCCGA